AACTTTTTCTTTTTTGATTTTATTTAGCCGACGACAATATCAATTTTGATACTGATTGTCGATCGTCGGTTGTCTTTTTTTTCTTTATTTTTTAGTTTTTTAAGAATATTTATGTCTTTATGACATGTTTATCTCTGTCTTTGTGACACGTTTATCTCTGTCTTTTTGGCAGTTTTTGATTTTTTGGCATTTGCTTTCGTTTATCTTTTTCTTAGGGTTGGATTTGACAATCGCCACGACTGGTCAAGATGATGCTTATTTGTTATACTGCTGATCTTCCCTGCTTTGGACCATTGGATTTATTTGAATATGAATTTTGCGTTCGTGGATAGTTTTTTCACTTCACTCGACTCTGATTTGCGATTATCAGTAGTCTTTCAATAGCTTCACCCCTTTTGTGGTTATTGTCGATGCAGTCAGATTTGTTCGTATCTTTATTTTGTTCGGGTATTTTGGTTAGGTTTTTTTAACCTTTTCATTCTTTTGTTTTTATGTGATCAAGGTAGCTAATTTTTTTGTATCAATGGTTATAGAAAAATATCATAATTATAATTTAGTTCACATTTATAATTATACTTGTAAATATTCATTGTAATTCAAGATATATTATAATTTTATTATAACTAACGACTTTCTATAATTCTTTTAGTAACTTTTAGGGCGTTGGATACCGGCTCTGCCTGTGACAATAGTATCACATATTTAATTATGTTGTAAATCACGAATTAAATAATTTCAATGGTTAAAAGTATAATTTTTATTTTTTAAATACTCGAGTTCCGGTTCAATATCTATGAAGATATATGAATGTCTTTTTTAAAATATTAAAAATCTTATAAAATTATTTTCATATTTGGAATATAAAATATTATTTGTATATTATAAATACGTAAAAATATAAATCAATATGATTTATTTAACAAAAGCTTTTGAACTTATACGCCATAGAATATTTAAATACTACCCTGTTTCTTTTTTATTGCTTCGTTTCTTTTTGAGTTTTTTTAATATATATTTTATTTGATAACATCCGTTTTGAATCGATCATCTACCGTTAAATTTTCTTTTATCTTTTGTGTCTTTTCCTCCCTATGATCTAATTATATTATTTTATTGTTTAATTAATTTTTCTCTTTTAGATCTGAAAATAAAATAGATTTACCTAATTTTATGCATGTTATTTGTTTACTTTTGTAATACATCTTTTTTTATTCTTTTTCTTTTTAGAATTAGATTTTATATCGTTTATCTAAATTTAGATATCATTTATTTAATAATTATATTAATCTATCTCTGCTTTGAATTACCAGGTTTAATATTGACGCACAGAATCACTGAAAATATATCGTAATTGAATTGTAGTAATGTCATTTTGTCAATGAGCCATCATTGTGATATGTATTTTTTATGTTAGTGTTGCTATTGTTTATCTTTCCTTCGATTAGGACTGTAAATAAGACGAGATAAATCGTGAGCTATTCGAGATCAATTCAATCAAAACTCGATAAATACTCGACTTGAGTTCTTAATGAGCCAAAATGAGTTACACTATATGGTTTCTGTTTACAAGCATGTTCTATTTTTTTTGTTATATATTATGCAAGCATACCCGAATATTATTGAATAATGATATAATTATGTATGAATGAAGCTTTATTCATGTTCATCGTTTGAAATGGTCTAGTATAAATTTTTGTTTTGAGACTATCTATGAAAGTCTTGGATTCTTCTTTGGAAGGTAAGGTCTCCATCATATTTTGTGTTTGGAGTTCCTCTTTGAAGATTAACTCGGGCTCCTTTCAAAGGATAAGGTCCCATCGTTTTTCTTGTTTTGAGTTAATTTACATAGGTCTTGTGTTCCTATTTGAAGGGTAAGGTCTCCATCTTGTATAGTTGTAATGAAAGGTAAGATTAACGACAAGTGATTAAAATAAAATTTGAACATAACATTATGTATGATATTAAAAAATGCTAATTGGATAATTAAAACAAAAAACGATAATTATGATACTAAACGAATAGTTTACCCTTTAAACAAATATGATTGTGAATGCTTTTTTTCAGTGTCAATGTATGAAATAATAACTCAAATAATAATAAAATCATAATTGTCCTTATATTTAAATAGAATAGGTTAATATATTTATTTATTAAACCTTAAGAGATAAATGAAATTTTAGTCAAACCATAAGGACGTGTTTGATTCAGGGTATGTGGGATTACAGGGGGAATGGAATCCTTATTTCCCCGTTTGGTTGACCAACATTCCCAGCCCCTAGTAATCTTTTATTACCAATAGTGGTATTTTGGGGGTATATTACCGGGAATGTGATTACATCCCTTCCCTTAGGTACTGTTGTAAATCAAAAATATCATTATTGTGTCGTTGAATAATAAAATTTCTACGAATGTTAAATTACAAATTTATCCTTAAACTATTTTAGATTTACAAAAAAAGTCCATAATTAAAATTTTATATGAAGTTTAGGGTTAAAATAAAATTTTACCCTTTCATTAAACCTATTTATCTTTTTAATTTTTTAAAAAAATTAAATAAATTTTATGATTTAAAACTTTTAAAGAAAATATATAATTAATTATAGTAATATTATAGTAGAATTCAACTTTTTAAAAAAATAAATATATAATAAGAACAATTTGGTAAAATATACATTCTAATAATCTTTTATTCCTTTAACCAAACACTGTAATCTTACATTCTTACTAAACCAATCAAACACAAAATATAACATTTTCAGTAATCTTATTCTCGCCGGTAATCCTATTCCCAATGGTTATCTTACATTCCGTAAACCAAACACACCCTAAGGATTTATGCATTTTTTTTATTCATGACAACAAACTAAATAAATTTACAACTAAAAGTCAGTAACCATGTGATGTGATTATGTATTTTCTTTGTAAAGAAGGAAAGGAAAAGGACCAAAATATCTCAATGGGAGATGAATTTTATAGATAAAAACCTCACCAGCAGGATAACTAAAAAATTAATATATACAATTACAATGTGCCCCAACATTAAAAGCAACCCATCACATCATGGATTTGATCATTTTAAATTATATAACGAAACAACAATATAAATACAATAAATATGCAAAGATTTATTTGTAATAATACCAAGTACTTTTTATATATTTTTAAAAATTATTACTTTAACATTTAAATTAAATATTATTCACTATATTATCTATATTAAATTTAAAGTATATTGAAAGTAAATAATATTTATTTTATATAAAAATTAAATATCTTAATAAAATTAGTATTTTAAATTAATATGATAAAAATATTAAATTAACTCGATAATTTATATAAATAAAAAATACAATAGATTTAAATATATATTAATATAATAATTATAAAAAATTATTTAAAAATTAATATATTAACAATCCACCTATTATATTCATCAATAGCCATTAAACTATTGTATTTATTAGTAATCATTACATATACATTATAGTGCATTCAAATGGAATAAGTATATTTGAATGGTTGACCAAATTATTCATTTTCGTTTTTTTATATTCTCTTAAATCATAAATTTTAGACCTACTAAGGCATTCTTATTCCTTTCTCTAGAATCTTTATTTTTCTTTTTAAATAAGATCAAGATTAAATTTAGAATTTATAAAAAATAACCACCTCTATCCTTGATAAAAAATATATAATGATTTTTCTTACAAATATATAATAATTTTAATACAAGTATATGAATGTTTCAAATATATGATTTTATTCATAAATATAGGATGAATTTAATACATTTATATGTATTTATCAAATATACAGCATTGTTATTTTTACTTGTATGATGAATTTAATTCATTTATATGTATTTATCAAATATACACCAAAGTTATTTTTGCTTTGTATATAAGTGTGTATATAACTCATCAAATTATTTCAATGATAAAAAATATTAATTTTTATAAAAGTTTTTAATTCAAATAATAACGTCTGCAAAATAAGTATATATTATCCCTAAATTAAGAAAATTTTGCGGGATAAGTGCATATTATCCATATATATATAGTTTTATATATAAATTATATATAGGAAATGGGACCATGTACATGATAAGTTCCAAACTTTGAACCAGCTAAGACAGCTGGCTGAAGCAAAGAGAACGCCGTCGTCCTTGAACAGACCCCACCACCTCACACATGCGCAAAACACAGCAGTTCCATTCCTATCAAAGATTCCTTACCTAGTCAAAGGCATCTTCTTCCCTTCACCTGCCGTGGGTCTCAGTTCACATGGGATGGCCATTATCCTTTCATTACAAGACAATACATTTTGCCACTCCCTACCCATTACATGACAAAATATTATAAGGTATAAGTGATTTTACGTTAGAGACAAATTTATATAATATTAAGAAGATAAATTTATGTACGAGTAGACAAATTTATATAATATTAAGAAGATAAATTTACGAGTTTATTGAATGACGTCAACAGTTAATTTTAAATAATTATTCTCAACCATGTCTGCACTAAATTTAGATAACTATTCTCAACCATGTATGCACTTTACATAATGTATATGAATTGTTAATAGCCTGTATGTATTGTTAAAGACGGATTTATAAAATTATAGTTTTACTTGAAACAAATTATCAATAAAACATGTATGAAAAATATAAAAAAATATAAAAAAATATAAAAAAATCTATAATTTTCAAAAAAGACAATTGCCTCGTCAGCCTAGAGATATTTAATGTTAGGAATCCAAACATATTTTTAATAGAAAATAAAAAGAAAATATATAAAATATATATGACTTAAAATTTTAGGAAGATGACAGTTCCTATATGTTCTCTTTGATATATTCGTGCATCCATTCCCTTCTGTTTATCGCAGAACACTACATTTACATCATTATCATAATACCAAGATTAAAACTAAAACTCAAACACCAACTTATTTATGACACATCACGTTCAATTGTAAATCAGTAGCAGGATTGCAGGATATCGTAGGACTTAAATGGTTTTCTTATTTAAGCCCAGATGAAAACCTGTTAAAACTTGCTAAGCTTCTACATCTACAGACAGGAGGAAAATTACAAAAACAAGTAAAAAGGAAAACGATAAGGTTTTTAGCTAATGCCCACTGGGTAGAATACAGTTTTAGCCTTGACTTCGTTACTGGAACCACATTGAAACATCCTGCTTTGGCATTGTATCCATCCCAACTGCATGCAGATCTTCCTTGTAATCGAAAGAAGATAAATCAAATGGGGACCCAAACATCAACTGGAAGCTGTTGTTATTATGGTTGCTCTCTAACGGAGAATTCAATCCCTTAAATCGATCAAACTGAACTTCCGCTTGTGAAAACATCTGATGGTTATGGAGTATGCTGGACTCGTCGAAGAAGTTTCCTTCCATAATGACTCCTTGACCATGGAAGAATTCGTCTTGCTGTTGGATTCTAGGATGAACGTTTTGACCTTTGCTAAGTAGATTGTTACCGGGATTCAGGTTCTTGTTGCCTTGGATGTTATCGTATATCGTCATGAGATCGCTGATTGTTTTCTGCCCATCTTCTGGAACTCCAAGTCCAGTTAGATCAAAGGGTGTCGAGACAGATGAAACCGATTGCGCAGCTGGCTTGGATTGTCCGAAAGCTTGAGGCAAAATTACTGGTTTCACTTCATTAACATTAAAATTCGATCCACCAAACGGCACAGCGGAGGAGTTTCGATAAGGACAAGTCAACTGATGATTGTCCCTGGCAGTCCTATCATGAAAACCCAAGCGAAGTTCACTACAAGGGCATTGGGGGAACTCACAAGTATAGAATTTTTGTTCCACAAAGTTCAAATCATTCGATGGTTTCCTCTTTCGCATGAAATCCAAACTACAGGCTACTTCCCCATTGATCGTATATGGTGGTTGTTGGATAGCTCTCATTCTCTCCATGACCAAATTTGAAGAATTGATAGTACCGGGTTTGATTTCTTGCACATCAAAGTGTGGCTCATCTTCCATGCCTTCAACATCGTACTCACAGCAGTCATTTGAAACCAAAGACACGTTTCCACCACCTGAGGTCAAAGGTGGGCAGGAATCAGGGTAAAGCTCTCGGGCCAGCGCCTCCTCCTGATTGATGATGGCAAGCCAAGTTGAGCTTTCCTTTGCTGTCATTTTGTCCTGTAAGCACTTGGACTGCCTCACGAGCTTGCGGATCTTGGCGATATCAGGAGATATATGCTTGATCACAGCTGTGAGAACACCAACTTTCCATGCCTTCTTCAAGTCATGAGGTTTCTTATAGGGAGGAGGACCTTGATCTTCGGGCAATCCTAGTTGCGGCCACCATTCCTCATTTCCAGTAGGCCACCATGGAGGGGGAACGCCTTTCTCTAAAGGGAACCGCCTTTGAGGAGGATCACAGTGTTGCATCAGTGCAGACAAAAGAGAACCAAGAGTTGTATCTTGAAGTTCTTGCAAGGTGTGTGGAGTAGGGCCAATTGAGTTGCAACCATCATCCTTGCCAGGAATCGAGTTATCTGCCTGGTACTTTGCGATAGCAGCCGGACCATTACGATCAAACCTGACTTTATCCTTCCACCATTCCCGAAGATTGTCAGATGCACCGGTTACAGGCTTTCCCTTCTCCGGAATAATCCCATAAACGAACCCTTGCGCTTTGCAAACTTCCATCATCTTCAGCATGTACTTCAAAATCCCATCCTGTGCCCTCGACATCTTTTTTCTCCTTGCCTGTTCTTGCGACTGACGCTGTTTGGTAATATCGATCCCCTCTTTGCACTTATTCTGCTCTTTAAGCCGTTTGAGTCGCATTTTGTCCCTCCACATCCTCCTCTCGAGTTCATCCACGTCGATTTCTTCATCGGTATAATCATCCTCCACCGTAGCCTCCAGTTCGGTTTGTGAGGCTCCAACATCTTTTTCTCCAAGGGGTGCACTGAAGAAATCCATATCCCCACAAATTCCCGTATCCTCAAACATCATCATTATTCCAAGATATGACCCAAAATACTATCTTTTCTCTTAGTATCTGCTAGTTCTGATTTAAGCTCAAACCGCCCAGAAAGCTGCTTAGTTAACCTGTCAACAAAATGAATCAATATATTGGCTAACAAAAACCCAGCAGGGGGCTAAAGAATTTTCAAATCTACAGCAAAAGATCATCACCACACAATTCAGTTCATCCAAAACCAGAAGAGCATAAGCGAAGATATTCAATTTCCAAAAGCTAAAGACATATAGATGAAGTGATCCAAAAACCTAGGACTATCAGCTACAAAAATCAATTTGTTCATAAAATCTTAAGAAAGAAACAAAAACCACAGGAACCATCAGATACAAGTCAGATCTCAAGAACATCAATTTGTTTATGAAAAGGAAAAATAATATTAAATATGAACAAGTAATTGAAAAGATAGAAAAGCTCAACAAATTGATTGGATCTGATACAAACCCCAAGCCAGGCAATCAAAACCCCATAACTTCAGCAACAAATAATCAAAACTCAAATAAGAAAAAAAAAAAGAAAAAAACCATTCCAGAAAATCAAAACCTAGACTTTATGAATCAATAATAAAAAACTCAGATGGAAAAATAATCAGAATACTCGAAAACAGAAGATCAAACTAGCCAATAATCAAAACCCATCCCAGAAGTAGGAGAAAAACACAAAGAAAGTATTGAAATCTAGTCAGCTACATGAAGATCCACTAAAACCCACGACCCAAAAGACTTACCAAGAAAAAAACCCACAGGTTTTCGAGTACTACAGGAAATTAAAAAGAAGTCAATTCTGCAACACAGAAATGATTTTTGAGAGGATAAAGAGAGAGGCAAATGGATATTATAAGTTGAAACTTTTTTCTCCTATCTCTAGAAAGAGAATCATTGAGAGAGAGGAAGAAGCTGGTTCTGTTCGTCCCTGTAGATTGTCAAAAAGTCTACACAAAGAGGCAAACTGGGGGATAGAAACTGAAGCTTTTGATAAATAAATCGCAAGAGAAAAGGAGTATTTCTTTGTTATAAATTAGACATTTCATTTTTTGAGCTTTACTTATTAAATACACTTTAAAATAATAATCAATTGATCTAACAAAATAAAATATCAAATTTTTAAATAAAATTAGATATTTGAATTCTTACATTTTTAAATGGGGCAAATTGAATAAAAATAGTTAATTTTATTTATATAATATTATATTTAAATTAATCAATTAATAAATTAATTACCATTGATTATATAAAAAAAGTAATTAACTATTCGGTGAATGCCTACAAAAAATACATATGTTAAAAAAAATCAATGATCACATATAAGAAGGTAAACTTTCGAAAATTATTTGAATTTGATTTAATTAAAGTTCATTAATAATTAATTTGGATTTGACTTAAATTTTAATGATTCAAAACGAGTTACTTGATTCGACTCAAAAAATTAATGAGTAAGTCAAAAAATAATTTATTAGATTTTTAATTTTAAATTAAATTAATATTAATATTTATATGCCGTATAAGATTTTCATGTATTTAAGATTTAGGTTTGAATTCGAATTTAAACTAAGCTCGAGTTTGTGCTTTAATTGAACTAAGTTTAAGAATGTTTTGAATATATTTTTTAAATTCAAATCAAATATTAATTTTTAATGTCAATTTCGAGTCGAACTTAACAATTTTAAACTTATAAAATATTAAGTTAAACTCAATTTTAATTTTTATAAATCGAATCGAACTCAACAATACTTCAACTAAACTTAATTTGTTTACGACCCTACTCATATAATGCATAAAGTTAAATGAAATATAATGATTGAAATTATAGTTTAAATAACGGTGTTTATACCGAAAAAGCACCCTTAGACCTAATAATTACTTGTCAGACACCCTCTCTTCCCTATATTTATCGATCTAGCACACTTTCAGAAACGGTGGCAATAAAACGCGGATCGTCAACTGCGTCTTCGCGGGATTCTGTCAAGTAAGGAAAGCAGCGGATGGTCATCTGCTCCTTCGTTGAACATATGACACGTACGAAACACGCGGATCATGATCCGTGCTTTATTGTCATCTTGTCAAAAAGGGTTAGATCGGTAATATTAGGGGATAAGGTGCCTGACATATAATTATTAGATTTAAAGGTGATTTTTCAATAGAAACGCCTTAAATAACCATTAAATAACATATATTATAAAAATAACCTCCCATTGTTTTTCCAGTTTGTATTAAAATCTCTAAAATAAAAACGACATTATTTTAGATTTAAAATAAAATTAATCTTTTTCCTCAGAAAGAATAAGCTAGAAAAACGTTACAGACTACGGTAAGTGAAGCAATTTTTTTCCTGGATGCCTTTTTCCATTAAGAAAAAATTAACGGGTAATTATCACTTCCCAAGAACATGGGTGGTCTAGATGTACTTAATTTATTATTTTTATTTTTATTGTATTTTTACAGTAATTTTAATTTTTAAAATTACTTAATTATATCATCCTATATTATACCCTTATCTTAAATATTAAATTATAAATCTTAACCCTAAATCATAACTCTAAAATTTTTAAACCATAAACTTTAACCCTAAACCTTATATTAGGATTTAGAAATTAGGGTTTTAAGTTAGATGTAATATATATAAGAGAAAATAACCCCAGTGACCAAAAATGCCTTATAATATACGATTTTAACCAACTTTTTTTTGGATTTGCCAAAATGACCAACAAAATCGCAATGCGAAATAAAAATCGCAACGCGATCTCCAGAATCGCAAATCAGTTCCCAGAATCGCAATGTGATATTACAAATTCGCATTGCAATTTTTCATAATCGCAACGCGAATATGAAAATCGCAACGCGAACATATAAATCGCAACGCGATTCTGACTATCGCAACGAGTATCCGTAAAATCGCAACGCGTATCCGTAAATCGCAACGACAATACGTAAAATCGCAACGCGTAACTGTAAATCGCAACGAGAATACGTAAATCGCAACGCGTATCTGTAAATCGCAACGAGAATACGTAAATCGCAATGTGATTTAGTAAATCGCAATGCGAATCTGTAAATCGCAACGAGATTCTAACTATTGCAATACTGAATTTCAAATTCGCAACTCGATTTCTGAATTCGCAACAGGTTTTAATTTCGCAACACAAATGTTTTGGGTATATAACTACGCAGCAGCAGCAACTCATAACCTAAATCCCTAAATCGCAACTCATTCCATCTCCATCTATCACTCTCTCCGGCGACATCCGTTTCTATATCCAACGACATCATTCCCCATCCGGCAACAGGTTTTAGTTTCGCAGCTTGTTTGTTTAGTAAATTAATTTACAATAATGAAATCATCTAATGTTGATCATGTTCGGATAGATTTGTGTTTTGGAGGGTCATGGGAGAATGTTCATGGTGTTTTACAATATATGCCTTTACCCATGAATCTTCAACTAAAACTGTCATTAAAAAAGTTAACTTATGAAACTCTAATGTTACGTGTTGCAAATAAATTGAATTTAGAGCCCCTAAGTGGATTTAGGCTATCTTATCAGATAAATGGTAAAGTTTATTTGTTAACCGACAATGAAGATGTCGAATGATTCATTGCTTACATTAGTGTTTCAAGTGATGATGTTACATTGTATGTTGTTAAACCTAGAAGTAGTGAAGTTGGGTCAGTAGCGGGTAGTAATCAACTAAGTTTTTCAACCCCAGTTTATGGTGCTCAAAATTTAATGGTTCCACCACAATTTCATCACCAAGCAAATATTGTTCACCACATTTCCAATACCAAACACAATCTCAAAACCCATAACCTTTCCCTAATCCAAATCCCAATCAACTTTCAGCACCAAATTCCGGTTTTCGTATTGACCAGTTAGACGATGATGAGCCAACAGAAAAAATTGTGAGTACTAGTCAGTATTCGAAATTTGATCTTGGTCAATACCCAGACTTTGATCTTGGTCAATACTCGGATTTTGATGATTTTTCAGAAGAAGAAACAGACCCTGCGTGTAATGATTTTGATATTGGTCAATACCCGAATTTTGATGATGAAACAGCCGTTGCCGAGGAAGATATTGTTGATGATAATGAGGAGGAAGTTACGCCTGTAAATGAACATGTTGAACATCCATTCTGTAATTCATATAACACTGAAGAAGAAAAGAAGAAAAAATCCCCAAAGAAAAGTCCCCAAAGAAAATGCCACGGGAGTATAACTGGAATATGCCAGAATTACTTCAGATACCGGAAGAAGAGTTGGTAAAGATAGCAGTTGATTGTTACACAAAAATTATTCGTATCAAGAAAGATGATTGTTTTGATACAAAGGAAGACTTGAAGATAGCTTTGTATACGAAATGTGTGGAAGATGGCTATCAACTAAAAGTTAACAAATCAAGCAAAGATCGTTTCGAAACAAGGTGTATGATTGACAAAAACTGTATGTGGCGTATGATTGCAAAGAGGATAAAAGATTGCGAAATGTTTCAAGTTAGGACTTTTATTGATAAACATACATGTTCAAGAACCCAAGTTTTTCCTCACCATAGACAGGCAAACAAAAGGGTGTTGGGTGGTTTTCTGGCTGAGTTAATGTTATTGAATGGTAAGGTATATCGGGGACATGAAATTATGAATGACATGAATGCTCGGTTCAAGATTAGTATCTCATATTCTCAAGCTTGGAGAGCCAAATGTTATGCCTTGGAATTGTTGAGGGGGTCGCCAGAAGCATCGTTTGCCTAACTACCGGCTTATTGTCACAATTTAAAGCTGAAAAATCCTGGGTTGGTAACTCATATCAAAACAGATAGAGATGGACGCTTTGAGTTGCTGTTTATCGCCATTGGTGCTGCGGTTAGTAAATCAATATATTTTTGTTGACTCATTTTTGTTAGTTACATGCATTTCACATTTAAATGATTATATTTCTTGTGTATATGATTTTGTAGATTCATTCGTTTATTAATTGCATATGCCCAGTTATTATAGTTAACGGAGCACATTTAAAAGGTCGATACCTTGGAGTAAACTTATTAGCAGTAGCCATGGATGCTAACAATGAGATACTGCCAATAGCTTACGGGGTTGGCAAATCTGAAATCTCTGATTCATGGACATGGTTTATGGGGCATCTTAGGGATTGCATAGATCCTATTAGCAATCTGACAATCATATCTGATATGGCAAACTCAATTGACAGCGATGTTAGAAGGTGTTTCCCAGATGCTTTTCATGGACTTTGTGGTGTTCATTTGTATAGAAATCTAAAATCAAGGTCTGCTAGTATAAAAAACCACAAATAGACATATTGGAATGCTGTAAAAGCTTATCGGGAAGTGGATTTTAATAAGTATATAAACTGTTTAAGACATGTTTTGCCTCAGTGTGCTCAAACACTAGAAGATGTCGGGTTTGAAAGATGGTCAAGAGTACATCAACTTGGAGCAAGATATGGTTTCATGACGTCTAATAGTGTAGAATCAATCAACGCTCTAAGTCATCATTCTCGGAAATTACTCATTACTATGTTAATGGAGTTTTTTCGAGCCTCTATTCAACAGTGGTACTACAAGAAAAGAAACCATGCAGGTATTATTTCTTTAAATTCATAACTTATCATATATTTTACTAAGTATTATTTATTTAAATTTACAGGAACATTGGAACATCGTGTTACACCATGGACAGAAAAAAATAATGAAACGTGTTGTGAAGTCAACGTCATGGAGAGTTGAACCATGTTCAAACACTTTGTTTGAAGTACTGGATAATAACTTAAATGGGCTTGTCGATCTAAATGCAAAGACGTGTAGTTGTATGAAATGGAAAACATCTGGTTATCCGTGTGGCCATGTTATAAAAGTTTCTCTTTATCTAAACCAAGATGATTCAAGCGCATACGCTATGGATTGCTACACTACAGAAGTA